CCTATTCTTTCTGAAATTTGAAATAAATTATATAGGCGAATAAACCGACAAACCAATAAACATTACAGCCGTTAGCCTATCTACTACCAAATCTGACAAAAATCTATAAAATATCAACAGAAAGTAAAAAAAAAAGTCGTAAAATATAAGATTTGAACTGACTTCTTTAACAGTACCAAATACAGGTCTTTCAAGATGCATTGTACCGGCCTTGCTTGGAGTGACACCTCCAACAACATTAGTATTGTAATTGATCATTTGCTGGCCATGAAAAGTCGCCTAAAATAAAAAACAATGAACTTTCGCCAAGCCTAGTTTCCCAGATCACCTAAGTCTCGTCTTCCAAATACATCAAGGATCATCAAAATCGGCAAAGTCATCCAGCTATTCAATGCGACGCGTTACAGAATAATGCGTCGAATATGATAATATATAGACATGCTTGCGAGAAATTCAAAATTGAAAAGTTAAAATATCCCATTTTTAATCGGTTCGTTGGTATGCCACGTGTGCTATTCGCTACCTGTTAGTGGCTTACGTGAAAAATAAACAAACAAATACAAAGTCTCACTCATACCTGTTTCCCGGTGAACCCTTGAACTATTACTTTCGTATCTTTATTAATCCGTAATGCACTTCGAGTACTCGTATAATGTCGCAGCAATCCTAAAGCATCGAATAGAAAGGATTATTAAAACCATATCGCAACCCTATTCCCCTTCTTCCATTTGAAATAATTTAGATAAATTTAATCAACCTGTACCAAATGCATGCGTTTGCCAGCCAAGCTTAATTGTTCGTGAAGACATTGCAAAGATTCGTCCTGAAACACATCATATTAATTATCGGAAAATATTTCGGAAACAATACCAATCAGAAATTCTCGTCATGAGAAGAGAGCAAATTTAAAACACAAAAATGAACTGTCGAGAATAATACAGCAAGCAGTAAAGTTGGCAAAATCAGCAACTCTTCTTTCCGATTTAGAAATAAAATCCGAGGAGAAAAAAGGAATGTTGAGAAGGGAGAGGAGAGTGTGAATGAAAGATATAGGGTTCGAGATCCGTGGGCAATATATAAAAAATAGAAAATGTATCTCTTTACAATACTTTACTAAAACTTGGTAATACAGTTGCAAAAATTTTTGCCAACAAATCCGAATCTCTTGATGAAACGACCGGGAAAGCCCAATGCCAATTAATCAACTGAAACGAAACGAAGAGAGGAAAAACACACGCAGCAAGACAATGAGCAAACCATTTGCACCCTAATTACGCCACTGAACGACTCATTTGATCGATTACCTCTTCATTATTTCGGTGGCACAGGTTATCTGATTTCACCACCTATCAGGCTTCATTCTAGACGGGTATACGATGCTGAATATAACTGTTGTAGTCTTAGTGATGGTAATACATCATTAGACGTGAAGCAAGTGTGGTTATTAAATGAAAGTTACTATTTGAAAATATTACTTAGGGAATTTCATGAGCGATGAATTAAAATATACAACTTATTTAAAGGTATCACTTCCCGTCATTTTCTCGGGATGCCTAGATAGCGCAATGTAAGCTTTTAGGGAAAATCCAGTATTTATTTCATTATCGATCTGATCAACCAGCTTTGACAAAAAAATCTGATAAAATCGAGATTTATCCTTTTGGTCGTTTAGAAACCGATTTTTCAAGGTCGCATTTTTTGGAATTCCAATGATCCACACGTATCAGACGGAAGAGAAACTCAAGTACACTATTGAAATCATTGTGACAACGATGATCCGATTGCAGAGTTGTCCCATAGTTCCTCGTACTGATCTGCAGACATTTACATGCTTCCGGACTTTACCCTGTAATTGCTTCTTCCAGATTCGGACAGTCTCTTCCACAGCAACAAATGTGCCAGAGCGATTTATCCGGAACAAATACCTCATATATGCAAATTATCCTATCAAGATGAAATCCAGTTGGCTAGGAGTTGCTAGATCAGTTGCTATCAGTATAACACAAACTACTGTTACGTCCGAAAGTAGTACCTTACCTAAGAAAAATATGTTACTATGTACTGTTTTCTCGCGCGCAATTAGAAAATTTCAGGGAAAGGTAGTTCATTAATACCTTATAACATGTTCTTGTAAATTGTTGCTGGTTGCAATCATTAATTGATTTAAACTATATATAAAAGAAAGATTAAATTTTGAGGTGAACTTTTAGAATGCTACTTTTAGACTTCAAAAATAAAATTTTCGTGTATTTGATAGAATTTTTTGATTAAGACAACCTCAGGTCATTTAAAGTCAGATGCAATTAAAAACTAGGTTTTAAGATTCCAGGGGCTGTAATCATGTTCTCAACAGTAATGTCAACACATTCCGGTGCACAGTACAAAAATTTGACTGATCAACTTTTTATCAAATAAAAAAAAGGCTTTTGATGCACACATCCACTCAGAATCCATTCAGACATTATCAACACCTCTCCACTTCTGCTTTCTTATCACTAACAAAATACTATGGCCATTATTATCACTGCATCATCAGTGCTTTCAAATTTTGCTCCAGAATAGTTTCACGGCAATCCTTGAATACACGTCTGATGTTTTCCGTATCTACAGCTGTCGTAAAATGATAAAAAAATGGCCGTCGTCTATCATGTCGACAATTTTCAAATTTATCCACCAGAAAAAATTGAACATCACGCAAATTACTGTGGTCACCGGTGAAATCAGCAAAGTACTGTCGAATATCCGATTTTGGAACCTTCTCTGCAAGGCTACTTTCTGTATTTCTGCAAAAAAAGAAAAAAGAAAACAGAAAAAGAACGTCAGGTGGCATGCTACGACGACAATTCCATAATTCTGTGAATAGAAACTATTGGTTACAATTTTGAAATAATCAAAATTTAACTTACCTTCAAGTAGATCACTTTTGTTCATGAATAATATTATAGAAACATTGGCAAATGATTTATTGTTAGCAATTGTTTCAAAAACAGATCGCGATTCAACAACACGATTTGTCCTTCGATCTTCAAGGATTACCTATAATGTAAAGACATTTAGTTGGAACTAATTTCGGATTATACACCTGCAGAAATTGAATTATTAAATAATCGAAGGAAAACGATTTTCTAGAAAGTTTTAATCGTTAAAATATTATGATCAGAGTACGCTATTTATCGAAAAGTTGAAATTAAAGGAAAATTACTTGGTCGTATTCGCATGAAGCAACCATAAATAATATACTTGTAATACCTTCAAAGCATTGGAACCATTTCTGTCGTTGTGATCGTTGCCCACCAACATCAATAAATCTATGAAATTATTCTTAATCAATTAGTTAAATACGAAATTTAAGCCAAAAAAATATTTCAATCTCATGCTACTGTTACAATTGATGTTTTTTTTCAAATACAATAAGATCTAAAAAAAATTATGGTAATGAATTTTTTCAAATGTCTTATTGAAAATCGATATTGATTTCAAACTTATTGATATCTCCAAAACATCGACCGATTTGACGCATGATATAAATTATAATTTAAAAATTATAATTTAAGTAGAAGCGATATCTGGCTTTTCACTAATTGAATTGAAACCTAAATGAAATTCGCTGTATTTCAAAAACATGTTCGGTTATTCCTCGTGTGGCTTTTCGACAGAATAATATGTCCCGATTGGTTGGACAATAATCTGGCATTGCCACTCGATTGATATGATCGAAAAAGTACATACAGGAATCAGACTGAAATAAGAACTTCACATCAGACTATATACATAGAATTTCAAAAACAAACAAAAACAATTATAATCATTAACAAAGTTTAAATAATACCGCCTTTATAATACCATTTTCAAAATCTTACCTAGAATTTCTTTAGAATGAATTCCAAAAATTTTTCAAAATAATAATTTTTATGGGTTAGAATTAAAATACTGTAAGCAATAAACTTACAATCTGAAAGAGATTCCGCTGTTCATACGTCTGCTTGATTGATGCATCATCCCAAAAGTCTCGTATTAACGGGGCCATTTCGGCAAATGTAGACTGATCGATACCTCGCATCATATCTGATGCTGTAAACCTAAAAATTATTTAAAACCAAAGATAATATTTCAGATTATTCTCATTAATTCAAACATTATTTCACCTCATAATACAGTCAACATTCTTTTGTCTCTCGGGATTCTTCCAAACATATCCCAGCTTTTGCCGTGCATCCAGAAGTACTCTCATTGCCGCAATTATGTTCTGTAAAATTTTCAACTTCTGCGGTTCGTCAAATTTTGTTTAAATTAGCCGCTTGAAAGTAACAGAACCAACTTCTATTGAATGTCAAGTGTTAAAAAGTAATATTTCCACATTTTTTATACACTGAAGTTCTAAGTTAGTTTTTAGTCTACACAATTCAGCGTACGTGATTCCATCCTAGTCTAGTCTGAAATTTATCTAATTGCTAACCTGATAAATCTGCTGTCGATATGCTCGTACTTCATCAGCAGTAAATTCACCTCGACCATTTATGATAACCATTTGTTTGATAAATGTTGATTTTCCGGATTCTCCTGAGCCCAACAGTAAAATTTTCACCTGTTCCCCAAATAACAGGATAACAGCACAAATTAGGCGCAAATTAATTATTGGTAACTAGAAAATTATGAAACATTTCCATCAATACCGCCAATAATGATAATAGTAGCCTGTGGTTTCTTGATTCAAATCACAAAATAAGGTTCATCAATCAATGGAACATTTATCAATTTTGATTTCACATTAACTACCCAAAAAACTTAATAATCATTAAACATATACCAAATCTAAGTTAAAATTATTGATTAGTTACCTGTCGACGAAGTTGTTTCTTTTCTTTTTGGAGTTGCTTCTCGATGATTCTTGTCTGTTCATTCGCATGTCTTCCACAACATGAAGCAAATATCGCTGTCATCGTACTGTCACACAATCAACAAACTGCAACATTGCTAGCATTACTCACTTTTCAATTTCACATTAATATTATTTGTATCGTCTCATAGAATTTATTAATTATAGGCAGATTATAAGCAAATAATTAACTAAGTTAAAAATTTTTTTACTATCATAGAAAAAATCAATTAATTTATCATTTAGTCAATTAAAATGATGCATGATTTACATATTATATGCTAATAAATATATTTTAATATATAATAAACCTAAGCCATCTGTAGCACACAACAGTTATTTAGCATAAATTGTGAAGAAAAAAAAAATCAAATATTTCATACATTTTCAATGACTCAAATTTCCGCCAATAGTAAATACTAATTGAAATGAGATTTAAAAGACTTTGAAAGTTTGTTCTTTAATTAACAAATCATTTGACAGTTTTTGCAAAATTACTAAAAAGGTTCTCTTTTTTATCAGCTATTGTTAAAAATTTTATAATTCTCTTAACACATAATTAAATTTTTAAATTTCTAAAAACTGAGTGACACATCTGAACATTCCTTCAAATATTATCCTCAAAAAGTTCATAAACAACATATTAGAACGATCTACATGCTTGCAACATTATGGTGACAGTACGACAATTAATTAAATGATGCAAAAAAAAAAAACATTTTCATATATTGCTTCTTCATTTATGGTACTTATCATACATTCGAAGGTATTCAAAAAATCAATTTTGAAACTTGGGAATTGCTTGAAAAAAGCATTTAACGAATTGTTGTAGCATTACTGCTGGAACCCAAACAGATCCATTCGGGATATTTCGAAAGGTATTATCACAATTTTGCCACATCGTTAACAACAATCATTCATACAAAAAAAAAAAAAAAAAAAAAAAAGAAATGAAAAAAAGAAACTTTGATCAAACGACTGATTATATTTATTTTC